ATCAGGACGCTTATGATATGTATAAAGATGATAGCACACCGCATTAAATAATATACGATACAATAACAATGTAGAAGAGTCTATGAAAGGCAAAATTTGCTACCTTTAACGTTTACTTTTTATGTACAATCCAAAAATCTACTACCCTAACGGTAAACTACGACCCTTAACTTACCTAACTGGCGTGTATTCATATGAATTTCCGGAAACATTAGAGTACCTACAGTAATATACTATCATTATCCAGGAATAAAATTTCATGCTTTTTTATCGCATGACTTTCATTAAAAGCCTAGAAGCTAAACATAGTAACTTTACGGTTATTGCTAACAGTCGAAGTCACGATGAGCCGACGAGAGAAAACTTTTACTGCCAGAATCAAATTCCCGCTCACCAACCTTACGGTATAACACATTTTCGATGATAATATTGCAGAAAAAAACAATTCGCCTAAAAGAAATCTACAAGGGTTAGATTCCGATTTCGCTTCTAGTTTGAGCCAAAGTTCTTTCCACCCACATAATAATTTTGTTTTGATCACCTTCGACCTGCGAAACAAATGAAATAAGTAGATGAAGAGAACGGTAGTGATAAAGAAATTGGATTGGAACTCCCAAAACACCGAGTTAGAGTGTAGAGAAATGAAAAATTCTATCTTTAATACGAATTTCGCTAAGAAAGGAATTTTCCTCATGTTGATTTTGTGCAGCTCACCAGTAAAATTTGCGAGCAGCAGGAGCAGCATGTTCTCATATGGTCATATGAAAATGAGCGAAATGTGATGTTATACTGCCTCATAATGGCTCCTCTAGAGACTGTACTCGCCTTGATTTACTTCACAAACGATCAGTGTAAGACGCATATTTTCCTGACCCGGAAATGTACGAAATAGAAAAAACTGAGGGCAAAAAAGAAACAGAAGTTGCATTATGAAAAAATAAAATCCTTTATGCCACATGCATAATCCTCATCTGAAAATAGCATGGTAAAATCTTGTAAATTCAGTATTTCTTCTTCTTCTTCTAAACTGAAGATATCATTTTTTTTTATTA